GCCTAACCCTGCTAAAAATCTAAAGGAAGGATGAAATGGACCCACATTCTTGTCACCCATCTGTCATTTGTTACCACACATGGAAGAAGAGCTGCACGTTCGCAGTGGGCTCAGTGGCAGTGACAATAGCTGGAAAGAGCCCATGGAAAGCTGGGGGAAACAGCGAGAGACACTGCAGGGGAAAAGAAGGCTGGGGAGAAAAGGCACAGCAGAGGAGGGGTGAGGCAGCAAAGACAGGAGAGGGAACAGTCCAGGAAGGGATGTACATAGGTGTCACAATGTTTCTCGGTGGTTCTGATGTCATTGCTTTTTCTGGATAAATTGTTCAGGAAAGAATCTCTGCAGGGATCCCCCTTGCAGATGTTCCCTACGGCCATCACAACTGTTCCTCTGAAGTTATATCTTGCTGCCAATGTCCTACATCCCACAAATCTAGAATGCTCAAATAAGAAGTTAGGACCATCCAAAATGAAGAACTAAACAGCATTAGGACCTGCAAACTCCAGTGTCACAAGCACTGGTTGTACAATGCTACAATTCCAACAGCTCCCATTTACAAGGTTAAAGAAATAATGATTCATGAGACTGGCTGACACCTGGAATGATTTAATCAGGCCATCCCTAATGTAAATGACATTGACTCACATTTCCAGATGTAGGTGGAACTGGCAATTGTCTTTTCCTCATAATTGTGTTAACTTGCTTTGCTAGTTAGAAATAGTTTTCTAGGTTATATTTCAAATCTGGTAATCATTAGAGGTACATTCTTTCCATAGATGTTTGTATTTATAGTCAATGGGAACATCTAGGACAGAATTTGACCTACAAACTTAACTATGTAGCAGCAACCTAGATAGAAAAAACTGTACTTAAGTCTGAACCAGAACTAAAGAAAGATTTCTTGATATATACATATGTACACAAAATTTCAAATATGAATGAGGCAGGCAAGATTTTTGTGTCTTTTTTTCCACCACCCCTTAAGTATTTCTGATTGCTTACCTTTAAGTAATCTTTTCATCAAATTTAATACAATGTCATTCTCACAGATGACGGG